TAAAACATATGAATAGGGGAAGTTGAGGAGAAGGGAAACCCAGTCTATTGATCGGCCGACCATAAGCTCCTCAACATTCACATTTATAATATATAGTACGGAAAATGGTCAAAAATATCATTGGATTATTTGAAAAGATTTAAATATATAACTCATTCACCTATTGGGCTAAAAATACCCGGCAATCCTCCTTTTTGGTCCATTTCTATCCTTGAATCTAACACCATTTTTTAAAAAACTATTATTATTTATTACGTGACATTTTCTTATTGGAAAAAACTAAATCCCAACCCATTTAATTTTCTTCTATTCCCTCCAATCCATTCCAATGCTCCATAACCCAAATCCAATTAGAAGAACTCTAGTTTCTGCATACAATACTATTTGATTGGTTGTCTCAACCTGAAATAGAATCTCCATTTTCCTTATAATTTGAAGAAGATGAAGAATGCAACTGATAATTCGTATCCTGTCGATGATAGTCTTGAGGGTATTTTATCAAGATTACCAGTTAAAACTCTGTTGCGATTGAAGTGCTTATGTAAGCGCTACTGCGCTTTGATTTCAACCTCCTAGTTTATCTCTCTGCATCTCAAGACGTTTAATTCAGAACCTTATAACCATTGTATCCTTGTTCAGACTGGGTACAAATATCGTTTGATCCGTATATAAAATCCTGGCTACTTGATAAAGCTTAATGAACCATGTATGTCCAATTATAATGTTGTAGGTTCAATCAATTTACTACTACAGGTTCTCGTAAATTGATTTGCCCCTTCCATAAATCAATTCAAGATGTTCCCTCCTATGCACAATATGAACTGTCAAATGACACACTACATTGATGTTAGTATGGGTTTTGTATATGAAAAAGATTCTGATGAATACAAGGTCATGAGGGTTCTAAGCTATAAAATAGGTTGTCCATCGACTATACTTCAGGTTTACTCAACCAAATTGGAATCTTGGAAAGTATGGATTCTTTTATATGTTCCTATTTAGTTGCTCATGACTATACCAATATCAAAAGTTTGCTTGGGGTCAGTTGTGACTCAAAGCACCGTGCTACGACTAGGGGTAGTCTCGGGTCATAACAATAACTTTTTGTTTTACTATAATCACTCGTGTTAGTTTCAGTTCTCTTGTTTCTCCCTATAGACTATATACTACTAGTTATTTCTGGATTCACCATTGATTATTCCTATGCATATTCTATTATAAAAGTTAGCTAAATTTCATAAACGTTTTTGGTGCTAAAATGGCTTTCCCTCCTTTTTTTTAAGGTGTTTGGTATCTGCATTGGAGCCTAACTAATTCTTTGCCTCGAGTAGGGGGGCATTCCGGGGGAGGGGGGGTGGGTAACTCTTCATTCTCCAACCAAAGATTTTTCTATATCAAGTTGAAATGCCTTAAACGGATGTGTGGTAATAGGTAAAACCCGAAGCCATCCTTGTTGGGGGAGATGCCAACCAACTCTCACTCTCGTTTATACGAGCACAATTCTTAGGTTAAGGGATGAGCAACTAATTATTTTGTGCTAATTAATGGCTGGCATATAATTAAGTTTTAATTACTTTAATCAATGGAAGCTACATATTTATGTTTTTAATCGCTTCATTTGGATACAATATTAAATCTACGACTTCTACATCACCTCCTGAATGTAACTTGTAACTTCATCAAATGATATTTCTTCATTAAAAAGGGACTAAAGATATTACTTGGCTAGACAACTAACCAATCAATATATGAATTATAGTATTATGTGTCTTTATAGAGTTTCAAACATCTCATAGAAAACATTGTAATGAACTGGTCGTAAGGAAATAATTGCACTTGTTGGAAAAGCTAACAAATTCTTCTTCAGATTTGATGTATTAGTAGAACAACTGTTGCATTCCTTATGTAGTGGCACTATAACTAGTTTCTCTAGATTTATTGCATGCTCAAGTAAGAACTTCAAGAATTGATCAAGCTTTGTTGTGTTAGATGTAAGCGTACCACCACATAATGGCATAACCTTGACATTCTTCAAATTATGTTAGGAAACTTTGAATATGTTTTCTTCAAAGGAGAGGTACTTCTTGTCTTCCAACAAATAAATGTCTTTGTCTTCATACTATAGATACCAAAGAAGGACAAATCAGGTTAGTCGTTGAGGCTGTAGGGGATCAATATACATTTGACATAAAGAAATGAATAGAAAACATACCGTCATATCAGGAAATATCATCAAATTTTTCAACTTAGGAGTCGACCTTAAGAGGTTGTCTAGTAGGAGGAATGAAAGTTTTGAAATATAAGAACTTATTGTCAACTATCTGCATTCGAGCAACGGTAAGGAGATGTCTTCCTCTTCCAACATCAAATTGGAAATCACCTAAACAAAAGAATGAGGCAGAATATAAAACATGAGCTCTATTCACAATCAACATAAAAATACTGGACACATTTGGGACTGATAATTGACCTTGATCAACCAGGATGGCAGTATTAGCTCATTAGCACAACAGGCGCTTACCAAAAGATCTTCCACTATATTTTCATCACAGTAGAGATCAAGATTGGCATGGTTCAAACATGAAAATTCCTCAGCTTAATTCTCGTATCATTAAAAACCCTAGAAATAGTTAAATGTTCAACATATGGAGCAACAATTTCAAAGCAACATGTATCACCTTCGAATGAATACCAATCCCCGCGAGGATGACCGTGATGGATCAATTCCAGTCGCCTACATTTTGGAGAAGTCATGTGCAAACGATTAAAACCACAAAAAGTCATGTAGCTTCAAAGATTCCAATTGAGGACAATTTAACATTATTTGTTTAATGTGTTTATCTCGGAGAAACAAATCTTCCAGCATTAAACTCTTCATAGATGTCCAATTTAGTACACAATCTTCTAATATTCTACAATTCTCGCAGTTGAGTTTTAGAATCGATGAACTACTACAGAGAACTTCTGGTAAGCTATAAGGTTGGTCATGCTCCGTCGGATCAACAATATACCGTATATTCATGCGTAAATCCTCCACTTTTTTTTTCACAGCAAATTCAAGCCACTTGTCAATTTTGGGAAAATAAGACAGGCCATCATCATATATGAACACAAAGTTTAGATTCAACTTTTTAATGCTAGAACAACTAAGGAGAGGTAGTACATTATCCGTTAAGGAAATGATTTTGTGCACTGTCAAGTTATCTGAACGACCATACTTTTCTTCATAAATAATGTTGTCGACACAAGTCCAGAAGTATTGCCAATGCTTAGAGAGAATAGTTGTTCTGAACTCATATGTTATGGACAATCGAGATAGAATTTGAACAATAAGAGCGTCAGGTAGTTGACTGATCCTATAAATATCTTCACATTCTATCTTAATCTTTGCTTTTTCTTGAGGTAAGTTTTCAATAAGCAGACTTTCTGAGTTGCCAGAGAATTGGTCTTGGTTGCTCATGTTGTTCAAACTGTATTCCTTTGGCTACCGGAAATCACAGTGTCAGCGAACCACTCTACCGTAAATATGTTGTTGAAAAATAAGAGGTGTGACCTTGGAAATGTGGAAATCCTTTGAAATAGTCACAACCTTTTTGAAAAGTCACCACCTTTTGGAAAAGTCGTAATTCTTCAAAAAAATCACATCTCTTAATAAAAGATACTTCTCTTTTGTTGAGAAACAACACAGGGCTAAGAAAGAGGGGGGGGGGGGGATTTTCAGACATCAATACTGAGAATAAGTTTACTTGTAATTATAATTTCTATAGACAATTTCCGTGTCTTTTTTGTTTATTCTTTCTTTAATTTCCAACTAACAAAGTTATATCACATGACACTATTTTTTATAATGTGATAATATATGATATTTTTTAATATATTTTTGTTTTTTAAAAAAAGGGTTGGGAAAGGAAAAAAATGAAGGAGGAGATTACAATTAAGGTGAGGAATCAAACTATCTCACAAATAAAGTGAAAATTTAGTAGTCAATGCTACTAAGATTATCCCATGTAATAGTAATGATTACAATTTCCGGTGGTTTAAACCATATTCAAACCATAAAAAGAGAAATAAGGTATTTTATGTAAACTAAATTATTCATCAAAATCTAAACACACAACTTAAGAAATGAAAGGATAAAGGATACATACACAAGGTAGCTGGACTTTGGTTGCCATTTCAAAATCTTGATTTTTTTTGGTTGTATGTATATTTTCATGAAAGGGATAATGCCACAGTACTTATATATATAGTAGCCATGGAGTTGACCATTTAATTTTTATTTTTTTGGTCAGAATGCTAAAATGATCATTGACGTAATAGTTTACTTCTTAAATATTTGAAAAAGATATACACCCTCGTTTCCATTTTGTCACACCTACTTTCCTTTTGAATCCATTTAAAATATAATCATTGTTTTTCTTTTTCTATATTTGAAAGCTAGATATGTCAGATTCCCAAAAATTGGCACGATGATAATTTTGAAAACTCATGAAAATGCACGTATTAGGCCCTAAACAAATAAAATTTGTATTGTTTACCCTATTAAATTCAATAATGTTGAAAGTAAAAATCATGGGATAATTAACATTTAATAAATTTGACCAATAAACTACAGTAGAAAAATACATTCAACCTTTTCCTCTTTTTAAAGTGGCCAAACAAAGTTATAAAGTGAATTTATAAGTAACATGTGTCACTATTAAACAGTTACCTCTTGGATTCAATTTCCAAAGTCCTTGTTAAACCATGTGGTCAGGCTATTCCTAGAAAAATCATGTGTTACTTTCCAAGGGCTATTTTGTTATTTTACTAAACCCATGGAAATGAAATATCTCTTCATGTTTTTTCTACCTTCCCACCTAGAAATTTTCTCCTTTATAAGTTCCCAAATGGCCTAATGGTTTCTCTTCACTAAAACTTTCATTGAGGTTTTCTTTTTCCATTTTATAATTTTTTAGTTTGAAATTCAATAGCTTTCTCAGTTTTTAGGTTTCGCTAAAATGGAGAAAGCTGAAGAAAACATACGAACTTCAAAAGTAGAGAATGAAAATGTGGAACTGAATTTAGGGCTTTCATTGAATGGTAATTTTGATGTTCACTAAAACAAATGAATCTTTTTTAGTGAATAACTAATGAAAAATATTCTTTGATGTTTTCAGGTGGATCGCAAGGAAGTGTTGCTTCAAGTCCCAACAACCACCTACTCAAGGTATCAAAATTTTGCGAATTGATTTATATAGCAAGTCAATTTGTATTTGCATCAAAATTAAAGTAGGAAATATTTTTTTTTCCTTTAGTTCTCGATGTGAAATCATCTTTCGTTGAACATAAATCACCGGTGTATTCAGGAAATTATATTGCTAAAGGGAAGATTAAAAACTTCATGCTCAACCATATGACTTTTGTTTCCACAAGAGGTAAAGGACCAAATGGAAAGAAGACTGAAGGATTGTTATACCTGTGTAACAAGAAAGATGAAGTGGAGATAGTTTTTCTTTGTCATGGTGATCTTCTAAATGCAGCTGAATTTGTCGAACACGCTAGTGGATGTTATGTAGAGCACCCTTTAAACCATATATTTATTGATGGAGAATAGATTAAGCATCATTGTTATTGATGTTATTTGATGTTTTCTTTTGTTTTTGTACCGAATAAATTCAATGGCTATTGCCCGAAAAGGCATTAGCTTTTTTATCGTTGTTATTGCATCGTTCCTTTTGTTGTTGTACCCACTAAAGTTCTTCCAGTCAATGTTATATTAAGGCTATTTTCCAATGATTTGAGTTATTTATTTCTATGTGATGCTTATTTTTTTTAAGCTTAATTAATTCGAAGCAAGTGATAGTTTCTATTCTACATAAATACTGATCCCTTACTCTTTTTTTTTAAATATTCAATCTCAAGCCATTAAACTAAATGAACCTATTTTTTAAAAAACATTACGCTTGTTCCTCAACATGAGAGAGGAAAAGAGAGTTACATGCGAGTGAATATCACCGGGCTAATATCATCTATCTTAACTCGTCTAAATGTTGTAAAATATTTCATTTTTTAATTATTTCTATTCGATTATGTGTAGTTTTGTTAAGATTTGCTATCAACTGATTTTTTTTAAGCAACTCCCCTAGGCAATGTGTGCCTAGGGATAATTTTATTAATAAAGAAAAAAGGATCTCAATGAGAAAAGTACAAGCAAGGGGGGCTAGGTCTTACCTTACTAATCTTAATGAGGTAATGAACCTTTACTAATTAACAAGAATGAAAAAAATAAGAGTTAGAGAAAACTAGACATTCTATGATCATTATAGAGTTTATAATACACTTTGTGATGATACTACAAATGAGGATGCTTAAGAAATGTAAAAAATAAAAAATCTAAGAATAAAACTGAGTCATCAACCTCAATATTCATTTAAGATATGTAAAAATTAAAAGAGATGGATTGCTCGTGTAAAGTAACCTGAAGTATTTCCCTCTTGTTTCTTCGTCAAAATTTTCCAACAAAACTTAATAGTTCTTCACTTCTTTTTGGATTTACTGGATCGTGTTGTTGTTGAAACTGTCATATGATTTTGCTTTGCCAGTCGCATTGGTAGGTGCCTTGGAATAAATTCCTTAGTAACCTTACCATCCCAACTATGTTGCTTTTCATGTTTCTTATTTTTGTTTTTGTTGCTTCCACTTCTTTGTTGCCTAGGTGAGAGATCTCCATCCTTGGATACCTTATCAAATGATATGTCTAGCATCTCATCCTCATCATCCTCATCAAACTTTTCAATGCCCAAGTCACTAGCATAAGTTGTAGTTGGACTAAGTCTTGAAACTCCAGTTTTTGGCTCATGGATTTTTTCCAATACCTTGGTGGTAATGGTCAAGATTTTTTTGGAGTTATCAATTGTCACTGCCATAGATGGATTTGCCTTACTTGAAGGCACAAATATGGGTGTTTGAGGACTTAACTTACTCCTTGCAGGTGCAAAAATATGTTCTTCTTCCTCAACTAAATTTGCCCATCTAGAAGCACTTGTTTCATTCCCCAAACTCTTGTCATTTCTTTTGGAGATTGACTGTTGTCCAAATATTTGCTCTCCAAGAGACTCCAATGATGGAGAATTAGGAACATCATGATTCGAGGTGTTGATTGTTTCCATAGGTGGTTTGACCATTGGGTTTTCTTCAACATTGCGGCATGTGACTCCTTGATTATTCCAGTTGTTTCTGGATTAGAAACTTGAAGAATTTGAGTGGACAATGCATGGAGCTCTTGATCGCAATTGATCATTAAGGCATCAAAGGTGTTAGAGCACACAACCTTCCCTGATACTTTATTTTCACAATTTATCGTTTGGTCCTTATATGTTGGGTTAGTGCAATCTAGGTGTTGTAGTTTGATGTTACCCGGAGAAAACATTTTGCTTGGTACTTAGTCTAGCGTCCCTTATCATTGTCCTTCAAAGTGATGTCATGATCACATGTACCACCAGATTCAAAAATTTGATCCAAAATCTCTTCACACTGCTGCATCTTATTAGCCTGGACAAAATCATCAATCGTGGCCAAACTAGGATCTTTCTAGATAAAACACCAACAGTAGGTAGTTTAGGATTCAAAACTAGACTAGACTCCAAATTAATCATAGGAACCACCGAATCACTAGTAACACTTTCCTTTGAACCCAAAACCAAAGTCTGCGAGACCGTAGCTAAGGTGCAATTTAGTGTAACTGTAGTATTAAGAGTATCATCTTGAACACAACTATCTACAACTCGATCTCCATTATTTTTAATGGATTCTACCATTGCTATTTCATTATTATTTGCATCTGCAACTCGAGTATTATCATCAATACTTTGATCTATGTTTTCCAGTCCCCTCTTCTCATTTAAAATTTGTCGCAAATCACCTTGAAATTTCTCACCATTGAATTGTTCATATCCAACCACTTCATTATCTTTGTGATTGCTATCTTGATTCCTTTTCAAAATCAATCGATAGCTTTTTTCATCGTGACCTTGATGTTTACAAAGGTTACAATATAAAGTTAAATTATCATAAACAAATTCCTGAAAAACCTCTTGAATCTTACACGGTTTGCTCGTCCAAATACTGTAGACGCATCCTCTAAGGCAGATTGTCCATAAGATCGAGTATCACCTTCACCCTAGTAGTGCTAGGCCTTGTCTTGTCTTGTGTTGCCTTGTTGATTTCTATTGGCCTTCCAACCGCTGATGCCATCGACAACAAGGATCCTTGGCAAATAAATATGGTGATAATCAGGGCAGCGAAATCCACACCGTGGCCATTGAAGTTTCTTCTCTTGAATTGAAATCTATTGTCCAAGGAAATATCCAATAAAGATGTTGTTATCCATGGAAAGGCAAAAAGCTTACCGATTTTGATAGAGCAACCACATAATCTTCATATTGTTCTATCCCAAGTAGAATATGTCTACGAGCAAGTAAACCAACTAAACAGTTTCTTTTGATGCCCAAGTGTTTAGGTAAAACTGTTTGCAAATCCTTCACTTCTAGTGTATCAGATGAGAACTTAATAATTACAGCTTGATGCAATCCTTCTTCCTTTGCGAAAACCTGGCGTTCTCCCATTGTGAATTGAATTGTAGGCTCTCCATGTACATATTGATCTATTTCAACTGGATTTTTGGGCAGCTTGATTTGTGGTTAATCAAGTAGCAAAGGATGTTTGTTGATTAGGATTAGCGTTTGTCTCTCCCACAACCAAAGGTTGGGGAGAGATGTGCGCAAACATGGCTGCTGCTAGGGTTTACGGTCCGTTGTTCTCGTAGCAGCCTTTCTCAAAATCCCGTAGTTGGCTATCAACTGCTAGCTTTAAGGGTTTCTAATTTTATTTCCCGAGTTAGAATTTCTATTTCTTGCTAAATCTGACAATTATTTGTTAATATATGTGTTATCCCTCTTTGATTATGTGTATTTTTTTTCTACTTGGAAGAATTGTAGTATTTATGTGTTGATTAAAATTTGGGGGATAGCTTTTTGAAGGGTTTTTAGTTATTTTTTGACTTAGAATTTTTATTTGTTGATAAATCTTGAAAACACTTGTTAAAATACCTTATATTTAGTTGTTTTATTTATGTGTTAGGTTTGGTGTTAACTATTTTAGATTTTTCTAAGTTTATTCATAGAAATTAGAATTTTCATTTCTTGTTAAATCTAACAATTATGTGTTAATACTGTTATTAATTGCATATTGTGTTGCGTTGTTTCTCTCTCTCTCTCTTTTCCCATATGTGACTGATTTTTATGGATTTTTGAGTTCTAATAAATTTATATTTTAGGCTATAGGGATAAAATTTTACATTTTATGGTATAAGGATAGAATTTTACGTAGGCAATTTAGGGCATGGATGAACTGACTGAGAGTACTATATTAATATTTTTATTGTGACATAGATTTCATTTCTTGATTCCTTATTTAAAAGCTGAATGTATTTGCTCTGAATATTTTTCAAAATGTGATCCAAATTTTATATTCTTGTGCCCTAAAAAAAGTAGAAATGAGAGACGTGTAAGTGAACCTACTCATCAAGTTTTCATTTTATTCTTTTATAAAGTCAATAGAGCATATTATACATTTATTTTTATTTATTTCCTCTGTTAAATAAACTTAATAAATATATCTTAATTCTAGGATCTTTCTCAAATGTGTGATCTCACATTAAATTACCACTATGATTAATTTTCTTTTATTTTTTGACTAGTAAAATTATCCGGGCCTCGCGCGGGAGTTCAATATGAAGGAATTTATAAAATAATACTTAAAACCTATCAGTCATTAAAACTAAAACATTATATTATCTTACACACAAGATTACGTAGTAACATACATTAATAATGTAAAGGAAAATGATAATTACAACATCTTTTCATTTATGCTTCAATCAATCATCTTTAATTTGATTTTATAATTTATCCTTTTGCTTCCATGAAGTGTTACTATTTGATATTTTTGGGGAATCAAATGTACATTAACCTGAGATATTAAATTTTCTAATAAATAAATAATCATCGGTGAAGGGATAAATAAATTTTAAAGGGCTGAAAAAAGTGAACAAATATTCTAATTCTTACCTGTAGAAAGTTCAGCCCTACCTTTTGCTTTACGTATATCATTTTAAAGTTCTCCATTTAAATGTATCATATGTAATTCTTAAAATGGAAAACTAAAGGGAGAATGAATCATATTGGACAACAATTCAACTTATTATATATACTTGAAAGAGAAAAATATTGCACAAAACTATTCAGCTTGTTTGGGTGTTTTTTAAAATCAACATACCAGAGTGATGGATTTCAATTTGAAACTACACTTCTATTCCATTCGCAATGTCGAGAAACACATTTATTACTTCAAGAGAAATATTTACAATTTGCAGTAAATTTGAGAATCTGTCCATATTTCATATTGAATATGAGCAATTAATTTATTGTGCAGTTATCTATATCTTTGGGATTAAAAGAGGCTGCAGTCTAGTCATATATTCCTTTAGATGTCATCCGGCACATCCTTGAACCCAAGTCAAAAATTTATTAATTCTTGTCTTCTTTTCGTGGTTCA